TTCCAGACTGGCTCCTGTCCTGTGTGTTTCTCATTATTCCAGAAAGCACAACATACCCAAAAGCAAAGAAAACTGTATCCCTTTTTTTTCTTACGTAACTCAGGGCTTCTGTGGTAAATATACACATCAGATCCAAATCACTAGAGATGTTCACTGTCGTGTACTCCAATAAGTTCAACAAAAACTCATATTTCTTTTCATACAGAAAATAAATCCTCGGCCTCCGCAGGCCAAAATATAAGCAGATAAATCTTGACCTACTTCTATTGTGCAGAAAAAAAGGATAAATCGCATGTTTTTCGGAAGTTCTTTGTGACGTGCTCCTTGGGATTTCCCGAAATAGATCGGCAAGACTCTCGTGTAACACTGCGGCTAATTTTCGTTTCCGCACGTGCAGAAAACTCGGCAATATTTTCCTGGGGGTTCGGGATTCATGACATCATAATCCCTGGTTTTCACTCGTTACTTTCTTAGCTTTTTTCGTTTTGCGGAATGAGACACGTATTCTGCAGATAACGATCAAATGCGTAAATATTATGAGCAGGAGTGTAGAAGTTAAATTTATTCAGCCATCAAGGCGCATCCGATTTTGCGCCCTAAAGTCCTGTCACCTGTACAAAGCACCCCAGAAAGCCAACGATGATAAATAAAATCCTAATTCAACAAATAAATGAATTTTCAGCCACCTTTATTTGTTGGACTGACCTCTATACTTGGCTTCACAAAATAAAAATTTTAGAGATACTTGCGCTTGCAAGATGTACGTTCGATTCCTCCATAAATATGAAAAGATTAGACTGCCGCTGATTCTACTTGTGCTTCATTGAAACATAGTTTCTGGAAATTTAGAAATACTGGTGAACTTTCTGTACAACAATATCTTGTCTGCAACAAATTCAGTGGGTGTAGTCCAAAAGCCCAAGGCGGGCCAAAAGCCCGCCTTGGTGCAAAAATTGGGGATTACAGGTATTCTTGTAACTTTCTTGATGGTAAGCTGCACCTTTCACCAGCAGGACCAACACATGGACAAGTACCAATATGTTTGTAACTTGAGTATACAAAGGGATTCCTCACGTGCAGTGGTCATCAGTGATTCTTTGAATGTCAAAGCATCATCACTTGCTGACTTCTGCAAAATCTACAGTTCACCTTGTTGATCAAATGGCTGGTGCACTTCCGATCAGCAAAAATCATAAGGGTGGTCAAAAGGCATACTACAATGGCTATTTATTCATGGTTAAGAACACAAATGTCAGTAATTGGTGCTGGAAATGAGCTAATGAAGAAGGAAATTGTATAAGAGGGCCACATTGAGAAGAAAATGATGCTGAGAGCATCAGTGACAATGAGGAAGAGGCAGCATCAGAAAGATGATTATTCAACAGTCATTTTGAGGACTAATGAGGGTCACCAAACACTGTTATGAAACTTGCATCCAATTTTTTCTAAAAGGAGGGCTTATGGGAGAGGGGCTTTTGACCTAGGGGAGCTTTTGGCAGTGGGAGCTTTTGGTTGGGTACCAGTTTCAGTACAAATAATTTTTATTTGGTCCCATCACATTCTCTCCCCATGATATACTGGTTCTCTGCTGAGAAATTTTTTCTAAAACGAATTTTTTTCCGGTCCTTTGAGTTTCATTGTACACAAAAGTTCGAGGCAACATTAAGGCAATTTTTGTTGTTGCAAAAATGGCCCGGATGTTGCCGACATTTTGGTCAATGTCATCCCTGAAAACATCCCAGGATTAATGTACCCGTCAGGCCAGAAAATAATGTGAGGATTAGCTGCTGGTCCCTGATTCAAAGGAGTAAGTGTCCTCCAAATCGAGAAAAATAATAGGGGATAAATGTTTGGAGAAAAGAAAGTGACCATGGAGAAAAAAAAACAAATTCCTGGTCCGTAAAATTTATGAAAAATAACTCACTTGTGGTCAACACTTGCATGGCGGAGGTATATAGAAGCATCTCTGCAGCTGAACCTCGGTTTTGAGAGTTCCAATTGTGCTGTTTCAATTATTTTTTACTTTACTTTTAGCTTTGAAATAAATTTAGCATCTCACCCGTCTTCCGGGGAGTTTAATCTCATGATTTACAATCATTTGCTCAGTCCAAAGTGTCCCTTTTGTTTTCCCTTGTACAATATTTTTTCTATCCGGGTGCTCAAATTAGCGCGCTTTGTTCAAATGTGTTCAATTTTCGCATTTTTCAGTGCCCTTGTCTTCCACTCGATTACTTTGTTCCGAAGTTTTGCGTCCTCATCCCGTGATATTCACGCCATTTTTTCGTGTTTGTGTTCAACTTGTGCGTCTAATTGACTATTGTCCTCGAATCCCATTGTTGACAAGTATTTTTGTTCCATCGGGTCTTATCTGAACCTCGCGGTTTATTGGTTTATGCAAAAAAAAATTAATACAGAATTCGATTAAAATTTGTTTAGATGATGTTGGAACTTATGCATTCAGCGGCAATGGAAGGCCACACTTTTTAATGAAGGCTTTGGCGTATTAATTACTATATACTGTAGTCTAGTGAGGCTCGGTTTTGCAGGATATTCTTGCAAAAACTTCACCCCGGCTTGAAGAATGTGGCTCGGATTCCAGACATTTTTCTCAGGTTTGTGTCACCTTAAATTTTCACGTGAGCACAAAAATTGCATTTTTTTATTCGTGAATCTTTGGACCGTTACTTCAAAGAGAAATGGTATTTTAGAAGAGCGTGAGAAGCATAGGTGGCAATATTTTTTCAGATTAAATCATGCTTTCCTATTCTATTCGCCTGTTCATCAGTATTTTCCTGCCAAAAAATCAACTTCTTTGAGTCCTATATAGTATAGAATGACTCCCAAAAAATCGAGTATGACCTTAATTTTTGAGGACTGAGGCTTATCAACTATTCGTGTGGCAAAACCATTTTTAATCATCTGGTTTTGCAATTTTCATGAAGCAGTTTCGACAGCCGCTTGCTTCCTGTTTCTTGGAACAGCATCTGAACAACTCAAAAATTCTGGCGGATCTCTGGTAAATCGGACAGAACATGGATTGCTGAACCTGATCAAAATCCCTAAATTTGGTGAGGCTCATATTTCAGAATCTGAGTCTCAAAGAAAACATGAATAGCTTTACGGCTTCTTTTCCAGCTGATTTACCCATGGATGTGAAAGAAAATGTCAAGTACATGGGCCTGTTCAAGACACCAACAAAGCGATCAATACTTAAAACCTCTCCTCCACAAATTTATGACAACAGTCATCTGGAATCTGAAGCGACTTACCAAAATTATCAGCCTTTCACAAGATATGGGGGCATTTTCAGAACAGCAGGTAAATGATTCAATCGGAAATTATTTTCTTTGTTCCCTGAATGTGTGTGTGTTTTTTTTTTTTGCAGAGGGTTTCGGAATTTTGCTCGGCCCATGGGCAGTCCTCGTGACAGTGCTGCTGGCGTCGGTATTTGGCACGTGGTTGCTAGGTGCCACTTCAAGCTTTCTCACATTGCCATTGAGATTTTTCTTTGGCGTGCAAACTCCGATTGTGCGAAGGTACTTGATCCGTTTGCTATCAACACTAGGGCAGAACATGATCAACAAGCTTGACAAGTGAGTATAGATACGATTTTCGTCAAATCCCTTTTTTTTTTACCCCGTGATTCAAATTTTTTTTTTTTTCAGTTCAGTCCCATTTCAGGGCAATTTCGTGGTCCCTGCTCAGGGCTTGAGCATTTCACGACCAGTTGTTGGAGACATTCCAGGATTTTCCTTGGAAATGCCAGCTACCACTATTAGCTACAGCTACGATTTAACTGCAGGGGCTGTTTCCAAACTGCAAATTTTGCTGGATGCTTACAATGACATTTTCAAAGTCAAGCCTGTGGACAAAGTGATTGGTTGGTGCTACAAAAATGCGGTTTCATTTTGGAAAATCGTGACTAAAGTTCTAATTCTCATTTTTTTCAGTTGCTCGAAGTTTGGATGCAGAGAAGAAATTTGCGCTGGGTGTGGAGCAGAAGCGAAAATTGATTGAAATTGCAAGCACGATTTACAGTATTGTTGGAGACAAGTGCAGAGACGGTTCATCTGCAGAAGGAATCAGAACAAAGGAGATGAGGAATTTGTGCAATAGAGTTAATAATGCTCTGAAGTTGGCTGCTTCTCTTAATTTTCTTCAAACCTAGTTTTTATTCTTCGTTTTTTGGTTTTTTTTTCAAGTGAGAATTTTGTTTGGATTCTTCGAATTTTGAGATTTGAATTGCATGAAAGGATCTCAGACGACTCTTTTTGTTTTTTGAAGAGAAGTGTTGGAAATATAGAGATAAAGTTTGTTTTCCACCATTAAACATTGTCCATTTTTTCAAGATACTGTATTGTCAATTTTCATCGAATTATTGATTTTAAATCTCAATACTTTCAAGTTTCGAAGAGTTTTTCAAAACTCCGGGTATTGTGAGCATATTGAAGGAGTGTAATATGACTTGAAGATCAACTGTTCCATTTTTGATTCACATTCATTTTAGGAGCAAAAAATTAGGAATTTTACGGTAAAAATGACGTTTAAACGCAGAACTAAAGTAATGAAAGATGAATTCCCGTGTATCTCATTTGATTCGTTGCTCAATTCAGCGAGAAAAAAATTTTTATACGGATGATTAAAAGTTTTAAAACTTCCAAACCGGTTAATATATGAACGAAAATTGAACCAAACCCAGAAAAATGCACATTTAAAATCCCCATGATTAAATGAAATTCACATTTAAAATTCACAAGATTAAATTAAATTCACATTTAAAATTCACAACTTCGCCGATTTAAAAAGAATCATAAATTGATTACTCCTATTTTTGTTGTACTCGTTGCAGTGTTGGTAAAATAAAGTTGAACTTTCGGCATCTCAAAATCCCTGACATCAGTAATGGATATATGAAGTACTGTACTATATTTTCTATCCCGAAAGGACTCAACATGGATTCTCCTTCAACCAAGATGCATACAAAATACATTGGAATGGAATAGGGCTGATAGAAGACGATATTAGATTTATTTCACCGCGTGTAGTGTCCCAGAACGTCCGGGTTCCTTATTATAGGAACGATTTAAAAAAAAAGGATTTGAATTCAATTCACTTTCTCGTGGGATTTCTTTTACTAAAATGGTGAATAGAAGATGGGTTTCATTTGAAGCAACCACGTCGCACGGAACCGACGGTTCCGACACCAATGACTTCTTCTATGCCGTCGATGTATCCAGGGCCAAATGACGAGATCACGTCACCGATGCACACTGACACTCCAGAGAAATCCGCATTCCTTTTTAAAATGTTAAAAATTTTTATTTGAATTTTCAAGACATTGCTGTCTGAATTTCAGAGAATTACTCACGAATAGAGAGTCCAGTCATCAAGTCCGGAGACGAAGAGGGAGCGCCATGTGGAGTTTCCTGAAATTACGGAATTTCCATCCCCTGATTTGTAAAGTTCTTGTCCACGATATCCGTCCTCTGGAGAAAAAATGTTGAAGAAATAAATTGATCATTGAAAAGATCAATTCTGTTTTTTTTTAATATGAAGGATAATTTGTTGAATTTATGGAGAAACCGCTGATTTTTCTCTTGAACTTTGGGTGTCCCAGGAAAAGTTCTAACCGATGTTCCTCACTTTTTTGTGAATTTTCTCAAGCAAAAGAATAAACTCTTACTTAACTCTCTCTTAAGATTTGAAAAATGTAATATTAGTTCTCGTCCACAACATCCGTACTTCGGACTTAAGGAATGAAACAAATTCATCATTCGGTGAAATGAAGCATTATTCTGTGCCCGAAACGAATCGAAGAAGGTTTCAAGAAACGACTAAAACTTTAGCAGTCAAGTTGAAATTATAAGGCAGGCTTCGTTTCATCAACTTCGAAAAATTCCGCGTATTTAAAAAAAATCTTCAAAAACTTCCACGCTCGAGAACGTCAAATTCATTCGAATAAGATTTTTTTACATTTATTTACGTCAACCTTGGGAAAAATAAAATCGCTCTAATTTGAAGGTGTCTTAAACCCCTATAGATTTTTTGTCAGCAGAATTATTTTTTCTTACTGGTTATTGTGTTTATACCTCTGTAAAGTGTAAGACCCGGTTTCATCCAGTCTAACAAAGATCCAACGTATCTGAACGACGACAAGTTATCAGCTCCAAATGCAAAATCCGCGCACGTGTTTCACGGAACCGACGGTTCCGACACCAATGACTTCTTCTATGCCGTCGATGTATCCAGGGCCAAATGACGAGATCACGTCACCGATGCACACTGACACTCCAGAGAAATCCGCATTCCTTTTTAAAATGATCAAAATTTTTATTTGAATTTTCAAGACATTCCTGTCTGAATTTCCGAGAATTACTCACGAATAGAGAGTCCAGTCATCAAGTCCTGAGACGAAAAGGGAGCGCCATGTGGAGTTTCCTGAAATTACGGAATTTCCATCCCCTGATTTGTAAAGTTCTTGTCCACGATATCCGTCCTCTGGAGAAAAAATGTTGAAGAAATAAAATGATCATTTAAAATATCGCTTCAGTTTGTAAAAATATGAAGGATAATTTGTTGAATGTACGGAGAAACCGCTGATTTCTCTTTTGAACTTCGGGTGTCCCAAGAAAAGTTCTAAGCTTCCTAACCGATGTTCCTCACTTTTTTTTGTGCATTTTTTCAAGCACGAGAATAAACTATTACTTCCAATTTGAACATTGAAATATTTGTTCTCGTCCACAACATCCGTACTTCGGAATTTACGAATGAAACAAATTCATCATTCGGTGAAATGTAGCATTATTCTGTGCCCGAGACGAATATCGAAGAAAGTTTCAAGAACCAACCAAAACTTTTTGCAGTCAAGTTTAAATGATGACAGGTTTCGTTTCATCAACTTCGAAAAATTCTGCTTATTTAAAAAAAATCTTCAAAAACTTCCACACTCAAGAACGTCAAATTCCTTCGAATGAGATTTTTAAAATTTATTTACGTTGACCTTGGGAAAAATAAAATATCTCTAATTTGAACGTGCCTTAAACGCCTCTAGATTTGTTGTCAGCAGAATTATTTTCTCTTACTGGTTATTGTGTTTATACCTCTGTAAAGTGTAAGACCCGGTTTCATCCAGTCTAACAAAGATCCAACGTATCTGAACGACGACAAGTTATCAGCTCCAAATGCAAAATCCGCGCACGTGTTGGATCCAAAGTGGAACTCCGAATCTCCTGCATAATCTATTTCTGAATAAAATATCCACCTGCGGAAGGAAATCAAGCATGCATATTGGCACACATCGTCGTGGGGAAACTGCGATCTTCTCCGGAGCGGGCAAATAAATTTCCCTGCGGATTTCGGGTACCGATCTTCGACTGTCGTCACTTGAACTGCGCCGTCTATTTAGAGTAGCCATTCAAAATGATTGCGTCGTAAGTTCAAGGTTCAAGGTTCAAGGATGGAAAACGTTTTAGATTTTCGCAATATGTACGTTTTTATACAGTCGAGAATTCGTCCATATGAGAATTGCGAAGACCGCGGTTTGTTCGAAATAGTTGGACTACGAGAATTCAAAGATGTGTAAATGCGATATCCTTTGTGAATATTTCATCATCCAAACTTTTGATGCTAATTTCAATCTATGGGATTCTTTTCAACGTCATAAAAATAAAAGAAACAAAAAGGTTTCATGGCAATCCCTCAAAGTAGGTGTAAATTTACGTAACACAGGGAGTGTTGTAAGTTTACTGATGACATGTCATATGTCATAAGCGTAGGTATGGACAACGTATATACCTAAAATTTTAACAATACTACGAAAAAGTCACAATTATGAAGTTGACCTGCTTTTCCGAGAGATGCAGTCTTTTTTTCTCTTTCGATAATGCAAAAAGTAAAAATCTTTATAGATGTTTATTTGCGCTTTTTCTAGAAGCGGAAACATGAGAAAACAGTAGAAGCACTTGGAAATGAGGGAAAATATGTTTACAGGAAGTCAGCAAATACGAATTGCGGAAAGCCTCGATAGCATCTTTTTTTTACGTGTTGGCAGACATATTTTCAAATCTCAAGAAACTTGAGCATTTTTTTCTATTATAATTTATGTATTATTCAAAGTATGAGCTGCCGTCTAGAATTTAGCAGTGCTTGTTCGTCGAGATAAAAAATGTTTTTGGGAAGTGCATACCAGTATGTTATCGTAACTAGTCAAGCAAAATATTCGTGCGTATTCCAAAACTGCATATCTCCTCGATATTAGTGGCAAATACCTTCGCCTGATACACTTGCGTGAAAACCAACAAGCGAAGTCTGATTTGGAGACACTATAGGTTTGATTGTGAATATCCATATACTGTATACAGTAACTCTGAACCAGATTAAATGTATGATAAACAAGTACACGAAGGATACTCAACAGTCCATCGACACAAACACCGTCGAAACTGTTGTCCATGACGTCGGGTGTCGAGCACGTGCTCGCGTCGTCACATTTAATGGCCGTCGTTGTCGAGGCCCCTGATTGACCAGCCAGGGTGAACAGTCTTACTTCCTGAGTTGCGGCCATGGTTGCATCCTTGTCTGCTGCACTCGAACCCATTGCCGTAATAATCGTGACAATGAGAATAATAAACAGTTCGACAGCCCGTAATGTCATAGTCACCATCTTCAACCTCAGCTATAAAAAACAAAACATGCACTTATTATTACTGCAATCACACTCTATAGCCAGTCAGTAGACATCAAGTGAGTTCTGTTCGATAGAAAATCATACGTCGTTAATTGTTGGACTTTCTTCTTTTTTTTTAAAGAAATTAAAATATATAAGCCTTCGAGCTTGCAAGACACACTTTCAATTCATTGGGGAAAGTATGATGAAGTTAGTCTCCTGATTCAACTTATGCTTCAAGGATACAAATGACGTTCGTCGTGGAAATTTCATTTCGACATCATCAAGCTCTGTTTTCTGATTAGAAACGAGACCATGTGTTATTTTTCCCAATAAATTGATAAGAGGGATGACATGAGCAGGTTTGTATGCGTTATCCAGTACTCTGATAAGTATTTGCATTTTTTGTGGCAAGGTTGCTTTTCTTTTCGTTGCATTGAATTTCCGACGGATACGTTTTTTTTATTGATGGGGTGAAGATAATTTTATTAAAGTAAGCAACAAAATTATTGGTAACATGATTATAAATCATTATTCCATTTAAATTGAGTCACTTGATTGTATTTTTGTGAGAGGCAAAGATTGCAATGATGTTCGGAAATTCCATAATCTCGCAACAAACTTCAGCATTCACTGTCATGCTCAAGCTAACTAATTATACATGGCATTTGTGAGGCATTCTGAACTTTTGCGCAATTTATGTCATGCCCTGCTCATGAACTTAATTTAGTTCAATGATTTTTTGAAAGCTGTGGTAGGAATTCGCCGTCTGTAATGACATTTTCCAGAAGCATGCATTCCGTCATTTGAGTTTAAAATGACTTTTAATTTACTTGCAGAGCATTATCTCCTTTTCAACCTTAAAAATATCCCTTTTGTTCGCAAATCGCAACACAACGATTCTCACTTACTGAATCTGTGTTGTTCTCTAATGTTTCCTGTAAGAAGCAGGGTTGAATGACCAGGGTAAGGAACTTGGATCATCGAAGTTCGAACATGTATAGGAAGACATACGTAAAAGCTCAATGTTGCTGGTATTAGAGCGACATCTAAGAGGCATGAATTTATGTCGCACGTGGAGTGTGCGGGCATTTACCGCTGTAAAGCAGAGATGGAAGCTGTACTATGCGTAGGCCCCGTAAGCAAAACACAGCAGTGACTCCAATTAAGTTCATGTGTCAGACTACTTCATGCTGTTAAATACCTCCCTAAGTCAAAAATATCCCTAATAGTCAAATACCTCCCTAAGTCAAATAGCTCCTTAAGTCTAAATTTTTCCAAGTCTTATCTGAATTCCCTTAGAAACCTCTCCAACTCAAAGGCTTTTCCTCTCAAATCTCCATATAACTCGAATTTTTCTGACGCTTTTAGGGTATTATTTAATCGGCACAGGAAAGAGAATATCAATAAAAATAACTTATGATGTGTTTCAGAAGGAATTGCAGGAATAATTGGGCAAATAAACCCTTGCATCCAAGTTCAGCATCATGTCACCTCATTTAAAAGAAGCAATTTAAAGACCAGACTATCACCATTTATAATTTCCTGAGATTATTGTATGTTTCCCACAAAAAAAATACTTGTTTCCTCAACTCCAAACCTCCCCATTTCAAATGTTTGCTGGTCCATTGAAATTTGACTTGGAGATGTTTGACAGCGCACCTGTGCAGTGTTCCCACTATTGGATCAATTGCAAGATATATATAAATTATTTTCTCATTTTTCATGAACTTCTTGAATTTTTATTTTATCTAGTCAATATTTTAAGACGAGAACTAGAAGTGCTAGACCCCTGTCAACCCCGATCATTATCCCATGACGTCACATTTGTGTGATCAAGCTATGAAAAATTGTTGCCAGCATGCAATTCAAGTTGTATTATTTATTTTTCGTTTATTTATTATCCTGATTGTATTCTAGTTCAGGGAATCAAGATGAAAAGTAACGTTGTTTTCAAAATCCACGTTTTACGTCAACGGTTCATAAATCTAAAAAAGGAACCTGCGGGGTGAATAAAAATCTGCGCTTTTCCACATTGAGTACTGTAAAATATTTCCTATCTCCTGATCTCCAGAGTAAATTTACAATCCCCTGGAATATTCTGCACAAATGATGTCATTTAGAAACCATTAAATACAGTAATTTCAAAATATCGAACACCTGGATTTCTTATGTCTGTCCAGATGATGCCCGCATGTATTAATCAACAATTTATTCCCCATTAGAGATTTCATTCATGCGGCAGAAAAGTAGCATTTTCTCGTGCTGAAATCGTCGTGTGACGTATTTTGCAATCCCTGCTCAGCCAACTCACATACTATTCGTTTCGCTCTAGGGATTCAAGCCAAGGTTACACTATCCAGAAACAGCCTCGAAAAAGCTATTTTAATCCAGCGACAAGCAGCAACGCGTTCTGCGTCATGNTTCCTGCTCAGCCAACTCACATACTATTCGTTTCGCTCTAGGGATTCAAGCCAAGGTTACACTATCCAGAAACAGCCTCGAAAAAGCTATTTTAATCCAGCGACAAGCAGCAACGCGTTCTGCGTCATGGTCCAACGATTTTTAAAGGAAAAACATAAGCTATTTTTTAACCAAAAAAAAAATGAAGCTTCGAATAACAACGAATGCCTTTCCTTCGGTTCACCCATCCGTGTTCATTTTTCATTTCTTAAACAAACAAACAAAAATCCCAAAAATTACCTCGCGGTTTTCCGTAAAAAAAACAAGTAATTTTACAGGGACACTAAATGCAAAACACGAGACGAATTGGCAAGAAATCTCAGCACTTCAGAAAGGTTTTGCCGCTAAGCTTTTTCCGGAGCAAGACGACTTTTTTTTTNGTAAAAAAAAAACAAGTAATTTTACAGGGACACTAAATGCAAAACACGAGACGAATTGGCAAGAAATCTCAGCACTTCAGAAAGGTTTTGCCGCTAAGCTTTTTCCGGAGCAAGACGACTTTTTTTTTTCTTCGGCGGAATTTTCTTTGTACAGTAGCATACATTTTTATGACTTTGCTGCCGGAAACAATTTTTGTTTGGGGCTTGTGAAAAATTAATAATTAAATCAACTTCGATCGGTTTCGAAAAATAATGAAAACAGGATTATATTTAAATTTGTTCAGCTGATTTTGCAACTATTAATGCCTTCAGCAACAACGGAAGGCTGCACTGTTTTTATTTAAAAGTTGAGCGCTTTTTTAATTATTAGAGGCTGGTTTTTGTAAGATATTCGTGCATTTAATCGCACTGGCTTCAAGAATGGGACTCAGATTCCAGATTTTCTTTTAGGTTCGTGCCAAATTGCCTTTTTACGTAAGCATTTAAAATTCATAGCAACCACACCACATTTTTCACGCATCTTTTAGTTGGCAATCTGCTGATTGTTATAATTCGAATACAGATGGTAATTTCTGTGAAGTGTGAGAACCAGCTGGGGGAGATGCTTTAAATTCAAATTATACTTCAATTTCTATTCGCGTGAATGTACTAGCATTTTTCTTTCAAAATGGTGAACGTCTTTGCGGCCTATATGCACTTTGAAATATCTGCCGATATTTCAAAAATTCGGGTGCGGCCTATATTATAGCATCTTGTTGAAATGCTATTTTCTACAGAACGGCTTTCTTTTCAGAAAATAGCGGCCGGGCTGTTGAAATGCGTTTGTGAGTTTGGTTGGAAAAAAAAGGAGTCGAGGCTTTTCCCGAAAAAAGTCAGCGAAACATTTCTGCACGTGATGTTCCGAAAGCGAATCGTTTCCTTGCATCCTGTGCATATTCAGAGGCAGCAAACTTTTGTGGATGTATCACTGATGGTCATCACGATGCCGAGTCAGACGGCAATGGCCAGCCCACGTGAACCCTGTGGGCAGCGATGTAACCCCGGATGTACTTCCGCAGGGGCACGAAGTAATTCAGCACGGGTTTGGCGGAAAGTTCCCGACTTCCGGTCAGCTCGAACAGAAGGTCTTTCCAATGCTTCGAGCTACCGGCTTGCATCAGTCTCCTGTCGGAAAAATATTATTAACAATAATCAAACTTCACTGACGAGCAAAACTTCGTTCCTTATACTGTATGATCTGATTTAAAAAATAAAATAAAACTTCGAAAATGGCCTGACGTGTTACAGTCATACAGTACTATCAAAATACACTAAGATTGATCTGGCATAAATTTCTAGCAGTTGTCCTGTGAATCGTAAAATTAAAAACAGCAACGTAGAAAATAACCTGAACTGACTTGATGTGGTCGAACTGGACATAAAAGAAGTGAAATAGATCAAATGTGATCTAAACTCAGTTACTATTAGTTTTAAGAAATTAAGGAAAATTCAAGTGACATATATTTGAAAACAAAGTAATTAAGTGTAATTTGCGACGTCGAGCAAAAAATTATAGGCAAGCCTTTTCAACTAAATTCCGGATTTCTTCGGAATACTTTTTAAAGAATTCCCAACAGACGAATGAGCATCACGGGCAGTCTATTTCTAAAAGCTCATTAAAAATCTAAACGTTCTCTTCCTTATGTTCAAAATTGTTCCTGAAAATAGACGATTGAGGCATTAGTTCCTCAAGCTTTCCATTCTCCTTCTGAATATAAGTTGAACTCAGGTCAGACTCGTTCAATTTCCTTCGCTTTTTTGCGCGCGCGCAGAGGAACTTTCGCAATTCTTCATTGCGCAATCGGATTTAATGTACAGTTCTTAGTTACTACATTTTAATTCCAGGTTATTTTTCGTCTGTTTCCTGCCTCGCTTACTTCCGAATTCGAATCGTGAGTTTATATTGAAGTCAAGTGAAAGTTAGATCGCAGTAGAATGCATCCAAGTGTGTTCCAAGGATGTATGAAATAAAGGAAGCGTGACGTGTCACGGTTTGTGGGGAAAACCGACGAGAATGCCGTGAATTTTCGGTATCGTGACTAAAAAAAAAATCCAGAATTAACGAACAGTACTGAATACATGTCTGAGAGAGGACAAAACGGAAATTTTGGAAAAATGTTCTGGGCCGAAAATTTTTTTCACTAGAGACGTGTCAGACTCGGGGAAGGTCAGTATTTGACCTTGGAACAGAAAATTTTACGCAAACGTGCAGCAATTTTCAGAGAAATATTTTTCGTTTGTGGCGTAATCACAAACCAAGTACAGATTATTAGAAGCTTTTAATATTGCCTCCCGATTCAAAGTGCGTATCTTTTGTACATCACCAATATTTGACAGGTGCGAACCCAAAGCGAGAAACAATTCGAAATTATAGAAGCAACTCACATTAATTTATGACCAGCTGCGCGACTACCCGAAATATCGCATTCGTGCAAAGGCATCAGTTCGGGTTGACTAGGGTCAAATTGTCCAGCAGCTTCACATAATGCCTGGTGAAGTGTGTACTGCAGAATTTTGGCAAGGAAGAAGCGGATGTAGGACGTGCCCCGCAAAAAGTGTACTTTTGCTCCCGGGTCAAAGTCTTCCTCCGTTCTTGGCACTGGCGGCTTAATGCCTTGAAATTCCGCTCTAAAAATAAAAGGAACATCGCACATTTTGTTTTAAAATAGCTGGTGAAATTCCATATGATGTGTATGCTTATTTTTGTAAAGCAAAAATTGTATAAAGCGTTTTATACGATTCGATTCTGATAAAAAAATGAACTAAAATTCGAGAGGAAAGTAGCAAATGGACACATTTCTTCTAAAACTTCTCCGTTTATAAAACCAGGAATTTTCTAAAGGCTTTTGATCTATAGTTTTTCAGAACTGTAAATCTGTCAGTGAAGTAATTTCTAAATATTTCTGCATCTGCGTGTAATACAGCATATTTCAGGCATACAAATCAAATTTTTGTACTTCTCTATAAAACAAATCTCATTGAAAACACTTCTTTTTTTAATTGTCTCTGGGTGCAAATCATACTTACCCAATTTTCCACCATTCAGCATTCATCCGGTCGATAGGAATGGATCCGTTGAAAACTTTCCACCTGTACAAATCCATCAGGTACGCGTAGGGCAAAAATGGGATCTTCTCCAATGCTTCACGCATCAAAAAAGCCAATTGAGTGTGCATGTCTTGCCGGAAATGCTCTTCCAACAATCCGATGGACTTGAGATGTTTAGCAGTTGACACCGACATCGTCAATGCTTCGCTAATAGCGTCCAAGATGCCTGGTCAAAAATAAACATGCTTAATTTGATAGACTGAAAATGCGACGAATTTGTGTAAAGCCACGTTTCCGGCTGGGATTTGAAAAATTTATTGTAAAAAGTTGTTTCATATGCACTTGAAGTTGTTCGTAGTCCATAAAAAATATTTTTTCAGTTGTTTATAGTGTGACGTTTCCGTGGGCCAGTCCAAGAATTGTTCTGAAAATTTTCCGATCGTTCATTTTTCATCAAAAAAATTCCAGGAAAAAGTACGAAGTACAAGTTTTTCTTGCGAAGTTTGGAAAGTCCTCGTGAAATGTTTCCATATTAAATGAGACTCGAAATACTCATACTCCAATGGCAACGATACAATTCCTTTGAATGAAATTTCTGGACAGCCTACGAATTTTTCGATTGTATTTTGTTGTTCTACGATGAATTACAGGAAAATGTTCCAATAAGTGGTTTCTCACAAAGAAAAAAAATTCTTCACGAAGATTTTCCCAATTAAACGAGACTTGAAATCGCTCATAGTCCATTGAAAAGACTTTCGCGTAGCTCAGTCTAAAAAAAGATTTCTTCATAAATTGTCAGCATTTTTTTGAGGAGCAGAAAAAAAAATCATTTATGTTCTCCGAGGAGAGGAACTTCTTAAATTTCATCAGAAAACTACAAGAAATTTACTGTTAGAAGAGAAAACAGGGGGAAACCCAGGAGTTGCGTCACACTTTCGTGATGAGGCAACCGCCGCCTCATCATAGACCCTACAGGCGACGCTTTTTCCGTTGCCTCACCTGGCATGGCGGCTTCCCGAAAAATCGGCGGCTGTTGAACGTACTGCATGAAATACTGGATGTGCCCCAGTTGATGATGAGCCAGAATCAAGTCGGCGTGATTCACTGAGGCGCACTGGATAATCCTGTATATACACAGGAAGAACCACCATCATACATAATACTTAATGAAGTTATTGCATGGCCCGAACAAATCAGTTGGCTTCTATACAGTATCCGATGGACTGGTATTGCGTAAAATAATACGGGAAGCTTTGGATGGAGAACACGTCATATTCTGGAAACCGGATTCGTGTGTGGTTTCTTTTCTGACTTGGGTAATACCGGGGTTCTTGTCACATTTTAACTGCATAAAGGTTTGATGAATTGCACGACTTTTCCCGGAAGTAGAATTGATTTTGTTAATATTGTTCTTCGGCATGATTTTTTCTTTTCCTTGATCACCGTCCTAATTTTTCATTTAAAGACTTGTGTTGAACTAATTATACCTGCGAATGAGTGCCTATATTGAGTGCATTCAAATTTTATCGATTATTCTACAGGGTTATTATCTTTTTAGGAGACGAATTCACACTCTTCGATCTAATCAAAAGTACAATAAACGTTTTATTCCTGATAGTTAAATCTCGTTACATCGAAAACTGCCCCGAAACATTAAAGCTATTTTTTCTGAAGTCTCAGCGGAAGGCCAATATAGAGTGCACGTTAAAACAATAATCTAAATAAATTACTGTGTACAACAAACATGCCAATATCAGTGCAATGAAATTTTCTGAGGGACACGAGTATGTTGGGTTTCTTCTATGACAAATTTCATAAACAATAAGGATGAAGGCACAATCCCAAATTTTATCTTTTCAAAAGTGGCTATTACTAGTCCATGGAACGGGTGTAGTTCAAAAGCCCCCCCTGCCAAAAGCCCCCCCCCCCTAGGTCAAAAGCCCCCCCGGAAAGCCCCCCCTGCCTAAAGCCCCCCTAGGTCAAAAGCCCCCCCTGCCAAAAGCCCCCCCTAACTTTTTTTTTAATTGGATGCAAGTTTCTCCTCAATCACAATGTATACGTTCATTTTTGACTATCACTGACAAATATTTCACAGACAACACAAATACATTGATTGTGTCACAACAATAAGAGTTTAGACAGAAGTCATTGCATCAAAAGTCAGATAGAGTTTGGTTTCATTAGCCTGGTGATTGTGTGCTGTTGCCTTCAGAACTTCTTCATCATCCAGATCAGTCACTAAGGCTCCTTTACAAGCATATCTCTTCTGGTTAGCACATTCCCAGCATCTAGTACTGGCTTTTGCATTCTTAACTGTGAATAAATAGCCATTGTAGTATGCCTTTTGACCGCCCTTCTGATTTTTGATGATCCAAAGTGCACCAGCCATTGGATCAACTAGGTGAACTGTAGGTTTTGCAGAAATCAGCAAGTGATGATGCTTTGACATTCAAAGAATCACTGATGACCACTGCAAGGGAAGAATCCCTTTATATTCTCAACTTAGGAACATATTGGTTCTTGCCCACCAGTAGCTTTCACCTTTCACCAGCCCCTTTCATGCTGGTGAAAGGTGCAGTTATGGTTAAGAATGCAAATCCC